CTGCATATCTTACCAGGTCGTCACTCCATCTAGGGGGGGGACGCCCTACACTTCGCCTGCCGGTACGAGGCTGCCACTCGAGAACCATTCTTCCCCATCGGTTGTCGGTTCTTCGAGCTATATGGCCGGCCTATTGCCACTTCAGCTTACTAATCCGTTGGGCTATGTCGGTCACTCTAGTTCTACTGCGGATATCATCATTTCTGAGTTTATCACGCAGAGAAATTCCGAGCATAGCCCTCTCCATAGCTCGCTGAGCGACCTTGAGCTTCCTCATCCGGCCAGTAGTGAAGGACCACGTCTCAGTTCCGTATGTCATCACTGGCAACACGCACTGGGTGTACAGTCTCGTTTTCAAGTTTTGAGGTATACCTGACGAGAAGATGTGCCGTAATTTCCCGAACGCTGCCCAACCGAGTTGAATCCGTCGATTGACCTCTCGGTCGAAGTTGGACTTACCTAATCGGACTATTTGTCCCAGGTAAACATACTCGTCAACAACTTCGAGCTTAGTGTTCCCAACAACTACCGGCATAGGTGTGACATGGACATTAAACATGATCTTTGTTTTGTCCATGTTCATCTTAAGACCTATCCGTTGGGAAACACTATTGAGGTCATTGAGCATAGTGCTTAGGTCCTCCAGCGATTCTGCCATAAGGACTATATCGTCGGCAAATCGAAGGTGAGTGATGTACTCGCCATTGATGTTGATACCATATCCTTTCCAGTCCAGAAGCTTGAAAACATCTTCCAATGCAGCGGTAAAGAGTTTCGGGGATATGACGTCACCCTGTCTTACACCTCTCTGCAATTGGATAGGTTTCGTACTCTGGTTCTGTACTCGGATAGCCATCGTAGCCCTACTGTACAAGCACTTCAACACTTCGATATACCGACAGTCAACTTGGCATCGCTGAAGGGACTGCAGCACCGCCCAAATTTCGACGGAATCAAAGGCTTTCTCATAGTCCACATACGCCAGACATAGTGGCAAATTGTACTCCTCGGACTTCTGTACAATTTGCCGAAGGGTACCCTTCGGCAACTAAGAAGAACCACAAGTTAATTATACCAGTTACTCGACTCCAAAAGGTCAGTAATTCCTTCATGGCGCAATGGGGCAATGTATACTTTTCTATCAATTGGTTTAAATTATTTATTAAGCAAAAATTGTCTAGTAAGGGTTATTACACTACTATAGAGTACACTGACTAACTGACACAGAGGACTTATAATAACCCCTGGGAATGAGGTGATCACTACCATGCTGTTTCTAAATGTTTTCATAATAATTGTATAAAATATTATATTGTAAATTGTGCTTTTAAAATAAATCCCACTGGGTTTCTTGCTGGTTCTTCCCAGGACAGAGATTTTTTTTTGGCGAACGAGTGGTCAAAGTAAAAAATGACTTTCAATAAGTATTATGTACTATAATCTATATTGAATAAAAATGATTGCATTCTATTTTAGTTATTTGATATCTAATATATAAAATTCTCGTGTTGCGGTGTTTGTTACCAAACTCCTCCGAAACGTCTCAACCGATTTGTATGAAATTTAGTGTGCATATCGGGTAGGTCTGAGAATCAGCCAACATCTATTTTTTAAACCCCTAAATGATAAGGGTAACCCACCCCTAAATATTTTTTTTTATTTCCTGGCCTATTTTTTAATTTCTATTTTAATATGATTTAGCATTAAAAATACATAAAACTTCAAATTTTCACCCTTCTACGATCGAGTAGCAAAACTAGGACCCCAAGCTCGTAACAATATATATAAAATTAGTATACATTTTAAAATGGTGCAGCCCATATACACCAACAATCAGCTTGCAATCCACGCTTGCGAAGCCGTGAAAAACTAGTTCAAAACACTTCTTGCTTATGTGAAGTCCAATATGTATTAGGACAGCGTCATCAACTTTGTACTACTCTAAAACGTTCACAGAAATTATAGAAAGGTCTATATAAAGATAGTATGTCGTACGTATATATACTGGCTGTTTGTTACGTTAAGCAATAAAATTTACTAAAAATTTCTAATAAAACGATGAACACATGTGGCTCAGGGCCGTGCCTTATGATATTTTTTGGGGGAGCTCGACAACTAATGCTGGTGTTGAGCTGATTAAATATATCTTTAATGTATGGGAGAATTTACAGGATACTTTGGGTATATTCTGTGATCTATCCAAGGACTTTGATTGTGTTCACCATGAAACATTAATCAGGAAACTTCAATACTACTGTGTAAGAAGTAATGCTCATAAATCTTAAAAGTTGTCGTGTTCAGGAACGGACTTGTAATGGGCTGCAATGACGATGATGATTAAAACTTTTCTGTCTGCTGTTTATCATGAGACGCATTTCACTCGTTATTCTAGAGGCATTCTATCATGTTCTCTAGGGGTGATACCGCAACTAGCATAGACGTATTATATGGACCACAGTATTATATACTTACAATCAGTTTGACTGTAGTTTATTTTCACCTTACTTACATAAAAAAGCTTCTTGAGCACTTCTGTTCCATTCTATGCAAATATATATATATATATATATATATATAAACAAAGCGCATCTTATCGAACCAGTGTATTTCAACATATCTTGTTTTTATTTATTTAACTAGCTGGCCCGGCAGACGTTATTCTGCCCTTTCTGTTTGGTGGCGCTATGAGTTAATTTTCACCTACACACTTTTCGACAGGCTTATTACACGTATAGCTAAATCATCTTTAGGACTAATGGAACCATCAGCGGCCATAATGACAATAAACTAAAAAAAATTCATCATTCCGGTCATTTACAGTCTAGATACAAAATTTAATGGAAATATGGCCAGTAGTTATTGCGTGCATCGTGAAACAAAAAAAAATCTACAGATTTAAGACATGTATAGATTACGCCTAAAGACTACTGATAACAATTAAACTGTTAACCAAGGACTAATAATTAGCTGAAATTGCTTTGAAACACAGATAAACGTGAGGTGTTTGTGAAATATTACAAATTTAAAACCACTGAGATTGTTGTTCGAAATGTCAAATGCTGATTTACCATATCTCGGTTTTGGAGCAAGGCATTGTATTGTGTGAATAACTGAATATTTTAAAAATCGGCTACAATCGGGCAATCGGGGCAGCAAGGCTGACTGTTTTCTGTTTCAAGGCACTCGGAAATAAATATCGGCCTATGGCCATCGGAGGGTAGTTTGGCACTATAATTTTTAAATCGTTTCTATTAATATGAAATAAGAATAGAACAGATTATAGGTGATAAAGCTCCTTTTAGTTTATAGGTACTTGCGAATGTTTTCACCAGTTGAAACTTCGACTCATTTTTATGACTTGGATTGGCACGTAATTGTTTCACTAATACTTATGATGCCGTGAAGCAAAACCCGTTAGCTTTTATAGTTAATAATAAAATAAAACTTTTATTTATGATTAGTCAATTCAAATCACAAAAAAATGTTTATATCTGCCTCCATACTCAGAGGTGGCAAAGCATCTGGAGCTTTTTTATTTGAAGTTTGTTACAGAAGATCACAGACAGAAGCCAGATACGATCTGATGAATTGTTAGCTCATTCGTAACTTTAATGGTAGTTAAAAAACTACACTTCATTTACTAAGAATTATATTTATTGCAAACCACTGCATAACATTTGGAATACAATTTATTTGTTAACGCAAATGATTGTTACCTCTGAGATAATAAATTGATTCTCTTATCCTTTGAACCAATACATAGTAATGAGTGAAACAATTCTCTTTTTATTTGAATGCTAGTGATTCTCATGTTGTCTATAATATAAATTTGATCAAGGTCTGACTAATAGCTTTTGAGTTATTATTAATAATTTATGTTAAAGTTGGTTGTACAACATTTTTCATTTTGAATTATGTGAGCTATGTTGCCATTGTATTACCAGTTCAGCTTGTTTGTTTTTATTTTTTTATAGGAGAGGGGGCAAACGAGCATGCGGCTCACCTGATGGTAAGTGACTACCGCCGCCCATGAACAACTGCAATACCAGGGGAATTGCAGATGCGTTGCCGGCCTTTTAAAGAGGAGTAGACTCTTTTCTTGAAGGTCCCTAAATCGTATCGGTTTATCATTTATCGATTACTCTAGTTATATTAAAAATATCCTCGTCACGGAATATACCATGCAAAGAATCTCCAATTATACCTCTTCATTATAAATTTAAATATCTAAACGTAAAATTTTTATAAGTCCTCCTTTGCTATCATATACTATAATCACACATGTAACGGCGTCCGACTGTATTTAAAACTTACCAATAAAAATGCTTACAAGAGAAGTAATAAGTTTGTAACTTAGTTTTAGTGAAATAAAAACAAACTATTAAATTTTTTAATTTATATTCACATTATGTAAAATCAGTCAGTTCTTTTGAACATAATACGCATTTGGCACTTTGTTCACTACTTAATATGGCTTATTACAATGTTTATTAACAGATAGATACTCGTATTTATAGCAGTTTTGTTTTAATAAAGGAATTAAAGTCACCGTTAAAGTCATTTTGTCATTTGAATAAACTCTGATAATTAGCAGAATCTATTTAACAAATTAAATTCGTTTAGTCATTATTAACACTAATTTAAATATTTGAAACACCTTCCAATATTTAAAAAATATCCAAAAGACAATTGACACTGAATAAAAAGATCTAGAGCAGTTAACAATTTCAAAATAAACAATTTTATGCTAGTGACAATTTTTTTTTAAATAACAGTACAGCATCAATGATATCCTTGAGAATGCTAAATCTACGATATCTACAAATAAATTTAAAATATATTTACACTTAAAATAAAAATAGTCTTTTTACTTAAATTCCAGCAATTTTTTTTAAATAGCAAAATATGGCAAGAAATTGAACCTACGAAGACCTTGATACAAGATCTCAACAAAAAATTTACAATTCTATATAACTTTAAATGTATTTACAATTTTTATATCAAACATATTCTTCCGAAGGCTTTGGAGTACCATTTGGGAGTCTCAGTGAGGAAGACATTCTACCATTTACAGCATCTGGTAATTCGGCAATATCTTTAAATACTCCAATCATGCTTTCAAAGTTTGGACCCCAGTTCAGAAAGTAATCCCAACCAAGCGTGGCAGGTGCAGGAGAACCGTTTGCTTGTCTGTATAAAGCTGCGCCAACATGAGGAGCCAAATCATCGTCTGATGCAACCAGCGTGCTTAAGGACCCTCGAAATGAGGAATCGAAACTTTCATATGGTGGAGGTAAAATGGGTTTTTTGTTATTGTTTCCACTATTAACGTTCTGCCTCCTGATATCTTCAGGTTTATCTGCACTTATGCTATTATTATCGTATTCTATTTCTGAGCATGTAAAGCTATCGTTACCACTTTCATCGTCAGACCCGGTAGAACTTCTATTGTCAGCCGGTGGAGTATGATGTCTGTGTGACATATGGTGACTGACTCCACCCCCACGGGGGGCTTCACTGGAACTTGATACTGCATCCAAAGTAGAAACTAAGCTTGAAGTTCTTTGTCTAGCATTCATTCTTTCAATTTCTTCTGCAGTTAAACCTACAGCACCTGATCCAACAGAAACAACTTGGGGAACTTGCGGGGTTGCACTTGGTGTCTTTCTCCCCGCTGAAGAACTTTGTCCGCTTAACTGGGACATCACAGGGCTATTCAGACTACGTTCACTATTGCTATGTAATGCATCTTTTCCTACCCCTCCTGAGCTAGAAGTTGTTGCTAAAAGAGCGCTTTGTAAAGGCTTCCCCGAAATGTCATGTAAGGTTAGAATTCTTGGTTGTTGGCTAAGTTCACTACTGGGGGATAGTCGTGCTAATGGTGTAGTTTGATGTTGCCTAGGCTGGGGAGGAGGTTGAGTTGCTTGAGCCAAAACTCTGGGTGGATACCCACTTGGATGATGGGGTGAATGCCTATGTTGAGGTGTTTGATGTTTATGATGATAGCCTGCAATTGGTGGTGGTGTAGCTTTATATTTTCGAACACCCGGAGCTTCTCGAAATCCTTTATAATGATAAACGATATCTATATCTGATGGTGCAATAGAACTAGCGTTTTCAAGGTCGTAGTGTTCGGGTACTTCTGAATTTAAATCCATACCACTTGGGTGGTCGTGGGTGTGGTGAGAAGTATTTGTTGACGAAGCTGGAGGAGGGTGATGATCTTCTCTTAAAGCTGGACTCTTTCCAACTACCTCTCTTTCTATTATATCCGGTCGTTGGGGCCTAGGTGGATCAATATTCATAATTTCACGATCTTTATATTTTTTGGATAAGAGTTCAGGGCCTACAATATGTCCAACGTTTCGCATTATATCAGCATTATCCGACATATAACTATTTAAGCTTGTTTCATTATTATGCCGGTTCATTATACTGTCATTAGTTCCAGCAATCAAATTCGGAGCGTTAAGCATCGCCGGACCACCATTTTGTTTTGTATGTACTATATTCGTTTTGCTTGCTGAACTATTACCTTTTTCTTTATTTTGCTTACGAAGGCGGTAAACAATAAATGAAATAGAAATAGCCACAATCAATATTATGAAAAATACTATCACGAGCGTTATGCCTATGTTCAGTGGGTTTGGATTTTGAGCCATGCCCGTACCAAAGATAGTATGACATCCAGGTAATATCTTTCCTTTGCGTATTATTTCTTTAAAAATGCTGCCATTGCCTGTAAATGGCTGTAGTTCAAAATTGATAGTAAAATTAGCTAAACATCCTTCAAATTTGTTGTTATTTGATATCAATTCTGCTTTAGCTCCTCCCAAAGAAATAACAGTTAAATAGGGATCTAAAAAGTCATGGACTCCAGCTGCGTCAAGCTCTTCGCCTACATTAACATTATCAACTATCAATCGAATGCTTCTTCCATGCGAATATAGTGTAACGTTGTGCCAGTTACCATCAGAAACATCATGATGTTCATGTTGCGTCATATTAACCACAGAATTTTGTTTCGAAGTATAACTAATTTTTCCTTCATATAATTCAATGATAGTATAGTACTTATCAGTTGCTGCATAAAATAGAAGACCCTCTTTTCTATTAGTTTTAAAAAAGAATGTTAAAATTTTTGCTGGGTTATTTACTTTTGCTCCGGTTCGTGCAAAAAATTTTCCGCTTCTTTTATCCCAGTTAGTATCACCTCCATAAAATGATTCAAGAAGTTGCATCCTTCTGTGCTTTTCTGATATAACGTAGCTAATAAATCCATTTTCTGTTACTGATATCGGTTGAAAAGCTATGTTGCAATCAGGAGAAATAACATTGCTGTCGCATTTACAATTATTGGTTTTCCATCTATCAAGGCATTTACCAGAACCACAAATATCTTTCTTATAGCACGCGCCTTTTTCTGTGCGATCGCAATTAGCTTCAACTCCACGTGCTTTTAGAGGATTTGTTAAATTTAGTAATCGGCCATTAATTGAGATACTGTGCATACATCCAACAAAGTCGTCTGAATGAATTTGGCCTGGACGTTCCAAAACAGGATCAGCTTTATGTAATCCACCAATAAGCAGCGGCTCATTATTGAAGTTCAGTGTTCTGGAAACAATAAGGTATTCATAATGTTATAATGGATTAGTTACACCAGATCTGCTCCCTGCTAAATATCACACATGCACACACACTCTCTCTCTCTCTCTCTCTCTTTCCTTCACACACAAAAAACACACAAACTGCAAGCCTTTTCTAAAATATTTTTGTACTTATTGTTAATTTTTCTTCATTTTTAAAATATTCGGAATAAAACACGTTTAATACCACAAAAATTTACAAGTGATATTGAACGTTTATGTACTCGCCAAGTATAGACGAATAGGCACGAGTGCGAACATGTAATTGCCTTGCTCGGGTGTGCTCGCTACTCTGCTCAAGTATTCGCCTGTTCGCCACTCGATGTTGAGGTTTTTACACGACTCAAAGAAATGTTCGTGTGTATTCGTATCGGTGTTTACATACTCGTCATTATTCAGTATACCCTGAACTATCATATTAATTTACTCAGCCAATCTACCGTTATAATTTTCTCTAATACCTTTCTTTAACAAAATATATAAAAAATATTAGTATGTATTCGGTTCAGCTGAAATTAAAAATTTCACAAGAGTGAAACTACTTTTATATATTCTGCTTGATAACTAACTCTTTCTACTTTGTCCTTTTTTTATTTAAAATATTAGTAAGTCTATAAAAGTTAAGTAAACACAATGTTGTAGCAACGAGACATACGTCATCCATATTTAAAAAATCTACATGTAAAACTCTTCCACAAACAACTCGGCAAGTTATTCATCAGATAATCTAAAGGTGCAAATAGAGCCAGGCTGCTAATATAATATCATGGTTGTAGCACAAATAGGTCGGCTCGATCGGGGACCACGCTCTCTTAGAATACCAGCGTGAAATAGCAACTGAATACAACTGTGCTTCGTATAATGTGTGTAGGGAACCGGAGACCGAGGCATTCCATCTTACTCGGGGGTGACAACGCATCTGCCTTTTGTGTCCTAATCGAGAATAGATGTGGATGTCTGTGGGCTAGAGCATCGCATCAACTTACCATCAGGTGGATCGTTTTCTCGTTTGTCAATATTGTTCTAAAACCAAAAATAATATTTTTAAATAGTATTATAGTACAATTCTTGAAACAATAGTTATTTTACTTCCAACCCAGTCCGGTTACACCGGCGCACCGTCTTTGGGAAACAGCGAGACATGCAAGGCATACCTTCAGTCGCTTTTTACGAGATAGCTACGGGTTGTGATGCAGTGATAAATTTTCTCACACGGCCCCCACACCTTTATTTACACACACGTTATTACCACCATCACAAGATGAAATTAAAAAGCTCATATAAATAATATTATCGGAATTGACGTACCCAGCTTGTCCAGTGTCATCATCATAGCATGAATTATCTCCGGGCTCACATTCCATACATATATCACCATGGTCAGTGCAAGAGGTGACGCTAAGTGAAATGACTCGACCATTTCTGGTAGCTGTTAACTTGTACCATTTACCATCAGCGGTATTTACAGCGGGATCCATTATTGAGACCGAAGTTATTGATGTTCTGGCACCGCCAAATGAGAAGACAGGTTTTCCTCCTAATATCTCTATCGCTATAAAATCTGACCTACCACCAGTTTGAGCACCATAATTGTATAACAATAAAGCATCAGGTTTTGTTGTTGCAAATATAATAGTTATATCATTAGTAGATGCATCCAAGGCCGGGAACTGCATATACGATAGCTCATTAAAACCAAATGTAGAACTTTCACAATGTGTTCCGTATCGCCCATTAGTACAACTACATTTGTACCCAGGTTTCAAGCTGATACAAATACCTCCGTGCATGCATGGGTTGGGTCTGCACGAGTCCACTAAAGCTTCGCATAGATCTCCACGATAACCAGGGCGACATAAACAAAAGAATGAATTGCTGTCAGAGCTTTCTTTACAAGAACCTCCATTCTTACAAGGGTTACTATTACAAACGTCATCCCTTTCAAACTGGCACGTTTTTCCTTCTCGTCGTGGCGGACATGAGCAAATAAAGTCATGTCCTTGTTTTCTACACTGACCTCCATAATTACATGGATTTGGTGAACACGGATCTTGTCTTTTTTCACAGTTTATTCCAATAAATCGATCTGTGCAATGACAAGTATAGTCATGGTGAACAAGCGGGGATGAAAGAACAAGAGTGGAACTCTCAATAATCTTTACATTGTCTATGACTTTAATTGCATCAGTGCAAACACCATCGTTTAAGCAATGATGTGACGCGCATGGGTAATACGACACAATAAGTGGGGTCTTTAACATTTTACTTATTTCAGATTCTTTGGCTTTAGCATACTTCTCTGTGTTTCCTTTTTTCCAAACAGAGTTATTACTTTTTATTGCTATTGTTAAGTCTAATCCGTCTTTTACTTCATTTATGCTATACAAGTAAGCACTTTCATCTTTTTTTAGGCCACCTCTCAAAATTTCTAATAAATTACGATAGAAATGCGTGAGGAAATCCGATGCAGTCATATTTAGTATTCTCATAGTAATGGATTGTTCAACTGTAGTATTATCAAAAGAAAAGAATTCAACACTTATTGATGATATTACATCTCTATGAAGACCGTCATTACCTGATACTGAAAATGAATATCCTTGACCTGGTCTCACTTCATTTGTATGAAGGTCGCATCCTTTTCGTATACTAAATAATGAGAGAGTATTTTCTGTTGTAGACTCTTTTATAATTTTGCATTTATAATCACCGATAATATCTGGATCATTTGGTTTTACGTCTGCAATCTTACCAATTGGTACTTTATTATTAAATGCATAAACAAGAATATGAGCTGACCTTGGAGATGGAGGATTGTCGTTTCTGTCCAAAACCTTTATAAGTATTGTGTAGTTTGATTTCATTACTGGTGTACCACTATCTTCAATCTGAATTATCACTTCCAGCTGCGGTGTTAACTCTCTATCAATTTTTTTAGTGGTAAACAATGCACCAGTATGCCTGTGTACTTTCACGTAATTTTGATGTTTGCCACCGATTATAGAATAGGAAAATGGTGCCCCATTTGGCGGCAAATCCGGATCATTTGCCGAAAGTGTAGTAATACTAGTATTAGGTGGTTCATTTTCATAAACGGCTCCATCAAAATTAGCTGTATCGAATAATGGGCCATTATCATTAACATCAGTTAGCGTGATTTTAACCGTCGTCGTGCCTGTTTGTGGAGGTAAACCAGTATCAATAGCACCCACTATAAGTGAATACGTGGGTATTGTTTCTCTATCAAGTTGTCTAGATACTTCAATTTCGCCAGTTTGGGGATCGATTTTAAAATCTTGATTTATATTACCACCAAGAATAGAGAAACTAAACTGATTATTTTGTGGCCGTACGTCTTTGTCCACAGCTTTTACCTGAATTACTTTCTGACCAACAATAGCAGATTCAGAAATTGTTGCTTCGTAATAAATTCTTAAAAATTCAGGTGGATCATTTCCATCTTGTATTGATATGATAACTTGAGCTTCATCCGTATCATTACCACGAATACCACCAGAATTTTTGGCTAGCACAGTTAGAACAACTCTATTTTGTGTTTCTCTGTCTAAATATCGAGCTACCCTTATAACGCCAGTTTGAGAATTAACACTGAATCCTTTATCATTGCTGGAACCAACAAATAAGTAATAAATGATCCCATCGTCCCCGCTATCTTGATCTGTTGCTTGTATAATACCAACATTAGTTCCAACGTCTGCTGATTCAGACACGTCGAAATGAAAAACTGGTTGTATAAATTTAGGATAAAATTCATTTACACCAGTTATATGCACCACTACTTCAGTTATGCCACGCATCATGGAACCAGGATTTTCAGCCATTATCTCTAATTTATAAGATGTCTTTTCTTCGTAATCAAACACTTCTTTTGAAAATATTGCTCCAGTATTTTCGCCGATATAGAACAAGGATGACATTTCATTCTTAATGTGATATTTTATAATTGCATTTTTCGGAGAGTCAATGTCAACAGCGTGTACCTTAAATATAAAACTATTCACTGGTGAATTTTCAGCCAAGTATGCTTCATAATGTGATTGATTAAACTGAGGTGCATTATCATTAATATCTGTTAAAATAATTGTAACAGTTGCTGTTGCTTCTTTTGGCTTAAAACCAAGGTCAGTAGCAGTTATGTTAAGACGATATTCTTGAATTTCATCATAATCGAGAGCCCGAAGGATACTTATCGTACCCGTAACAGGATCAACTTGAAACTCTTTGCCAGAATTAGATGAGATAGCATATCTAATAATACCGTTGGGTCCTTCGTCTTCATCGTTGGCTTTCAATGTCAGTATTGAAGAGCCTATAGGTTCGTTTTCAGGAACAATCACTTGATAACTGAGTGCCGTAAATTTAGGACTGTAAATGTTCTCACCGGTCACGACGAACGTTATAACCGTCTCGTCAAACTGAGGCGGGATTCCGCGATCAACAGCTTTTATTTTCACTTCGTAATATTGCCCAGTGTAATGAAATTGTTTGTTAACAAAAATCCATCCATTTGTTTTATCAATAGTAAAAAACGCTGTTCCATTTCCACCGGAAACATAATATTCTATTTCTGCATTTATTCCAAAGTCCATATTATCTTCTGCTGTCAGTTTAACCACCTTTTCTCCAAGAATTGCATCTTGAGGTACAGGTACAAATTTTTCATGTTCTCTAAATTTCGGCTTATTATTATTAGCATCTACGACATTGATTGTTACCAAACATTCAGAAGACATTGGTGGTTTCCCATTATCAGTTGCAACAACAATAACAGAGTAGCTGTTTTCAGGGGACATATTATTTAACGTTCTTTTATATTTCATCATAAATTTACTTAAAATTTCACCTGTGGCTGGATCAATTGTGAATAAATCAGATGTTTGTTGTAATGAATATGATATAATAGAGTTAGGACCCTGTTTATCTTTATCAGTAGCAATAACTTGACCGACAAAACTATTCTTTTTCTGTAACTCTGGAAAATTGAAGCTGTAAAATGAATATTCAAATTCCGGCGCGTTATCGTTCTGATCTTGGATAGTGATTGTTAGAGGAGTCTCTGATCTCCAAGCACCATCAATCGCAGCAACTTTCAGGTTATACTCATCCTGTAATTCTCTATCCAAATATCCCGCAACAGTTACGTTTCCACTGATTGGATCAATTAGAAATTTTTCACCCGGATTTTCAACAAAGCTGTAAGTGGCATTTGCATTTGGTCCTGTATCGAGATCCGAACTCGTAACTCGTATAACGAATGAACCTATATCAGCATTTTCAGTAACATTAACACTAAACAACCGTGTAAACCTCGGTGGATTGTCATTTTTGTCCAATACTGTAACCAGTACCGTAGACGTTCCAATTAATTGAGGGACTCCGTGATCATAAGCTTCTACTAATATTTCATAAAAAGGTATAGATTCCCTATCCAATGCTATATTAGTGATAATTTCACCGCTTTCTTGTTCAATTATAAACGTCTCTTCATAATCATTAAGAAGCCTGTAAGATATTCTTCCATTCTCATTGGAGTCTTCATCGTGTGCTTCAATTTTAACTACTAACTGTGGGGGAGATTCTTCTTCTGGTACTGTAGCATTATATAATAAAGTTTCTATGATAGGTGCATTGTCATTGGCATCTGTAACTTTTATTTCTATTTCAATAAATGATTTCAACGGAGGATTATCTGAATCTCTAACCTCAAACCATACTTCATACAGAGGCATAGTTTCGTAATCAAGTCCTTTACCAGTTACAAAGACTTCACCACTTATTGGTTCTACTCTTAATGCATCACCCACATTACCTCCTGCTATAGCATATTGTAACAAACTAGTTGGACCTTTTTTAGGTGACATGGCCGATAACCTTGTTACTAAAACACCTTCAGGGGTATCTTCGGAAAAAGTAAATGATAGTTTATTTGTAACAGTAAATTTTGGAAAATTCTTAACCGATTTTGGAATAAGTATTAACTCAGCTGTACTTTGTCTTGGTATAGTACCACAGTCAGTAGCTATAATTATTAAATTATATGATGATTTGTTACTGTCTTTAAACTTAATCAAACTCTCTTTAGCTTTTATTACACCACTGTCTTTATTGATACTAAAAAAGTCTTGGTGTTCACCTTTTAAATCATACAAAATCTTTTTATTTAATCCAACGTCACTGTCTTTTGCTTTTATTCCAAATATAAAGTCCCCCGGAACAGTACGATCTGAAATATAAGTTTCATAAATTGACTGCGGAAATGTTGGGGTATTATCGTTTTCATCCTCAACTATAATTGTAACGTTAGCCGTTGCTGTCCGTGGATCGGTAGTAGAAGAGTCTTGAGCCATAATAATAAGATAGTAAACATCCCATTCTTCTCTGTCCAATGATGCGTTTGTTGAAATTACTCCTGTTGTTGTATTTATAACAAACCTCTCAGATTTTTCGCCAAGTAGACTATAGCGGATTTTAGCATTATTGCCAATGTCTTTGTCAATAGCTTTTGGCCTTAAGATTATAGTACCCTCTGGCATATTTTCTTTAACAATCGTCTTATAGCTTTGTCTTTCAAAATTTGGACTATTATCATTAACGTCTTGTACTATGATTTTAACGGTACCAGAACCTGTTAATGGCGGTGACCCTGTAAAATAATTAAAAAATATTAATGAAAGTAATAACTTTAATATAATATAATAAATTACTGAGTTTATTTATAACTACAATATTAAAGGAAATTAATGTTATACCTGTGTCCATAGCTACAAGAGATAATATATATTCATCCTGATTTTCCCGATCCAATGTCCGTAGTAGTGAAATTTGTCCAGACGAAGCATTTATTTTGAACAAATCAGCATCACCTTCTTTAATAAAATAACGTACTTGATTGTTAAATGGCGGTGAATCGGCGTCATAAGCTCGAACAGTAATAATATAGCCGTTAGGAGGTATAACATTTTCCATTACATATGCTAAATATGGTGAGTCTAGAAATGTAGGTGGATTGTCATTGATGTCTTGAATTGATATAGATAATTCAGCCGTGTCAAATCTAATATCATCCTTAGCACAGTCTTCGCTTCTGATTGTGAGTAAATAACGGGACTTTCGTTCATAATTAAGGTTCTTAGCCACTCTTACGATTCCAGTGTCTTCACTTATAGTGAAATCACGGTTCTCATCTCCTGATGCAATCGAATACCTCACTCGTCCATTTATTCCCTGGTCCACGTCTGTAGCTGAAACCTATTAAAAAATTTGTAAAATATATTTCACCATGATAAATCACATAAATAAAATCTTATACTAACTTGTAAAACACTTGCTCCAATACTGGCATTCTCTGGGACTGATGCACTATACTGTTTAGGATCAAACACAGGGCTATTATCGTTTTCATCCAAAATTTGAATAACTATCTTAGTTTTTGTAAAGTTTGGAGGATCTCCTCTATCTTTAGCTGTGACAAATATCATATAGCTCGATTTTAACTCTCTGTCAAGTTTTCCAGTAGCGCGTAAAATTCCATCAACATTTCCAAGAGAAAAATAACCGTTGACTTCAGGATCCGGTTCCATAAAATACTCAATGTATCCATTTCTGCCTTCATCTTTATCGATTGCTTTGACAGTCATTATGACTGTATTTAGAGGAATATTCTCAGAAATAAACGTTATGTTGGGAGTTACAAATTCTGGGGCCATGTCATTTACGTCCTTTAGTTGTATTGTTACCTTAAAACAGAAAATGTTTAAGATGTTAAATATAAAGAGAGATGATGACAAATTTTAAAGAAACATTACCGAAAAATTTTTTTTAACTACATTATAAGCTGGTTTAAGTTTTGTTATAAAAAACAGGGCCAAAAAGGAAAAGAAACTAGCTTACATTAAAAGATAATAGAAATGTTACAACAAACAAAGACTATTATTACAAATATATGCTACTTATAAAAATAGAAGGTATAAAATTATAACGTTCAAAGCTTCACACAATGTATAGGAATTCTCAGTAAAAGTATTGAGTATTAACAATTTTAGTAGAGATAAGCGAAAGGTAACACAAACTTGTTAAAATAAATATGTAATCAACCTTCGGAATATAGCTAACAAAGCGTTCCTTCGAAACATGTAATAGTGAGGTTATTTACCTGCACTGTAGAAGACAACTGCGGCTCCGGTGATTTTGCCAGATCTTTCGCAGTTACAATTAAATTATAAATTGGTATTTTTTCTCTGTCCAATGATTTAATTGTCCGTATTGTCCCATTTGATGAGATTTGAAAATCTTGACCATCGTCACCAGATGTAATGCTGTACGTTATTTTACCGTTATATCCTGAAATTTATTATAAAAAGTCGTCAAGAAGAATCGAAAAGAAGTCAAGACTACTTAAATTGACTTACTAAATATCTCTATTTAACCTTATTTACAAGCTCAATTCCAATGGTGTAATGCAATAAAGACGAATTAAAGCTATTAATATTTCTTTCATTATATAAATCAAATAACACATATACTGTATATAATCTAAAAAAGTTACCTGAATCCATATCTGTAGCACTTACGGTTACAACCGAAGTACCTACAGGAACATCTTCTAAAATTTCGTTTGAAAAACTCATTGGATCAAATATTGGCGCATTGTCGTTTAAATCTACTACATTTATATAAACAGTAACAGTGCCAGAAAGGGATGGATGTCCACTATCCTGCGCTTGCGCAACCAATATGTAGTGTTGGGTCTGAAATTTAAAATTACAATTTATACAATAAATGTAAAGTCATCGTTGTTAGTAAAATAAAGAAAAAGAAATATTTGATTTAGGTATAATAATTTATTCAAAAAAAATTTTTTTTTTCAGATAAACAGATAAATATAGATTTTAGCTGCATAGCTTGCGAACTAAGGCAAGTTTTTTTTAAGAATAAGGGTGAAAAATGAACACACAGTCCAGATGTTGACAGATGAGACACATATTGCGGCCCGTATACAAATACATCTATCCTCGATTAAGAATCAAAATGGGTCAAAGCGTTATCACCTCTGAGGACTAAGATAGAATGCCTCGTTTCCAGTAAAAAGAGTTTCCAAATCTCAACAGTCACCATACGCAACACAGCAGCATTAAGCTGCTATTTTGAGGTATTATATGAATAGCTGGTATTCTATGAAAGCGTGGTCCTTGCCCGGTCAAACCGACCCATTCGCGCTACAATCATAATATATGTAGCTGCAGCATAGCTCTACCATATATAAAGTAGTTTCATACAAATTCTAACAACCTATTTTATCCGCTTAGGAATTAAAATTTCCAAAATCTTTTCTTAATGGATGCCTACATTATAAGACAAGTAGCCACTGTCCAAACTTTAGATTTCTACATCTAGCGGTTTGGGCTATTCGTTGGTCTTGTATATGAAACATAAAGAAATAGATGGTCTTCAAATAAAAATAAAAATTATTTTCATCATGATTTTAAAGTCTACTCTGCATTAAGATTTTCGATATAATTGGTCACCAAAGCCTCCCAGCTATGACAAGCTCTCATTCGTGGATCGTGAAGGGAGATGTCTATTTGAAAAAAAAAACAGGCTGTGGTCGTGGAATCCGGCCCATGAATGTTTTGCAGACGGTCGCTTTGTCTGACATTGTTCGGGCCTTAATTTCAATGGCGGATCGAGTGGCCAAATGCCGAATATGATGCGCGACGCGAAAAAACTATACGGGATGAAATTAGCAGCTCTCTAGCGAGGTACACGGAATTGGCGGGCGGTCGAGACAACGAGTGTACAGCGAATTGTTTTTACTAATTAGCAGAGTTGGCTGACTTGATGAGTCGGGAAAAACGACCTCTACGTCGCGTCGTTACGCTTCACCAACGAACACACGAGTTATTAAAATACTTTTATTAGAGATAAGACACTTTCACCCATTCCACTATCGACCTAACATAAACAGAAATCTGTTAAACACTACCATACAGCATTGTAGACCCTGTTCTTATTTTAGGAGAGGGGGCAAACGAGCATGCGGCTTATTATAAGAGGCCAATCCACTGTTATATTGCATAGAAATCTCACATTTTGCTAGCGCATAAACTACATAAACTGTATGATGATTCACGGACATGGGGAATTTAACGACTTGTTGTTATTTTATAGACGTATTGATGAGTACTACAATAAGCTGATTACGGTACAAGCTACAGCAATAACTCGTTAGTCAAGCCTCAAGACGTACGTGAAACTTAAATAATGACTATTGCTCAAACAAAGACGAAAGCTCCATAAAATATTTTTACGCATAACATATCTATGTTCTGTTCTGTTCTGTTCTACTAAAAATAACTCTAAATGTAATAGTGTAAAAATTATATATGCATATATTTCATTTGAAAAAATTAAATCACAGGGCTTAAGTGTAAGAGTAAACGTACAAACATCTGACATCATCATCACTTTCACCATTCTATATTAGAAGGATAGTTTTCACGAAACGAGAACACGTTTTCCTTCTGAATTAAATCTTTATAAATTAACAAGTGAATTTATAAGGACATGACATATTTTTTTATAATGTTGAAGTGACAAACGAACTTACAGTCCACGCATTTTTGTACGTGGTAGCCAAGCTGTAGCTATATTGTGGCTGCAGCACGAATGGGTCAGCTCGACCGGGGAAGGACCACGCTCTCACAGAATACCAGCGTAAAATAGCAGCTCAATGCTGCTGTGTTTCGTATGGTGAGTGTAGAGAACCAGAGACCCTTTTTACTGGAAACGAGGCACTCCATCTTAGTCCTCAGGGGTGACTACGCATCTGCATTTTGATCCTTGATCGAGGATATATGTAGATGTCTATGGGCCACAGCATCCACTTACCATCAGGTGGACTGTGTGCTCGTTTGTCACCCTATCCTATTAAAAAAAACTCTCTAACGCCTATATTTTAATAATTCTAAAATACGCCTTTATTTTAATAATTTTTTTTTTATTATTGACCAACAGTCACTAGCTGACTATACACTAGCGAATACAGTTTAACTCTCTCTTGATGAGATATATTAGATAAGATTTATTCTATTTTTTTAAAAAATCCAATGCTAAGTTGCTACTGCATTCTGTGGACACCTGGAGCTAATTTTCAAAAAAAAAAACTACTACTTATTCGTTGTCACCTCTGAGGTCTTAGATTGAATGCCTCATATCTTGTAATTACACTGGCTCTCTTCAGAACGCAATAAGCATTGCTATATATAGCAGCAGATATAGATAAGAAGGTGGTACCCACCCAGGCAGACTCCTGGGCAGAAAAGGAGCCCTACCACCTAGTAACACTATAGTGACATCAAGGTAAACTTTAAACTTTGTAATTTAAAACTAAAAATAGGTCACCTGGAAATATTATTTTTCGTAGTGGGCAACAATGTAACACATTGGTACACATAAACACACACACACACCAGCGTGCACTCACATCAACGCACGAATATATGTTATATGCACGGCGAATTTACAAATAAATTATTTATGGGATAGGCTCACTCATTACTGCTGATGTAAGCTAGGTTTCCTTGTTTTACCCCACTTGAAATTATCTTGCTTATGTATTATTATATAATAAATTATGCGTAAATATCAGATTTTTTACTAAGTAACCTTATTTTTTCGTTGTCTTTGCCTATCCTCTGGATAACAGGCTCACGATTACAGTAGATATATAGATAATTAGAGGTTATGCTATGCCAAATTAAAATATTTGTAATTTAATCAATGTCGTTAAAGAAAATAAGAAAATTTATTAAGACTATAGTAGCTCTAATCAATGTCATTAAAGAAAATAAGAAAGTTATTAAGACTATAGTAGCTCTTGGTGTTATACTTAAACAAATTTTGAATAGATATCAAAAAGCAGTGGTATGATTAAATAACAACGTAACATACAAACTAATCGTTGACAATTACAATTCATGCCAAAATACGATAAAAGTTCCATACTGAAGGTCTTCTAATTTATTCGATAAATGATATTGATGCACTATGTATGAGCATGGGCGTATGTATAATGAATAGGCCGAAGCGGTGGGTTTTACTTTCAGACAGCTTTCGTCCACTTCTTGTTTCCACCGTGTGCTTGTATACATTGAGGTTGATACAATTATCTCAACTTAGATCTAGACGAGGACGTTGACCGCGAAGCTGTTCAATCGATGCTTAATTCGTTTTAATTTTTTCTTAAATGTTACCTGTATAAAATAACCTATAAAATGTTACGTGTAAATCATTTTGTTGAGTACTTTGTCAAACTTTTAAAAACATTTTTTTAGGAATATTTACTAATATGGATGTATTTTTAATTTAAATTCAAATCTCTCACTAAATAGTCGAATATATGCGGTTGAATATTAATTAAATTGCATATTCTATCTATATATTAATTTAGTATTGTTTTACGTTCATGTAACAAACTATAATTTTGTTACTTTTAGACACGTCAGTTGGAATATTTTAAAGTAGAATCATAATGACTTATGAGCCTTACTATTGATAAAAAGAAAATTAACATTATGTAAATTGTTTAAAATTTATGGACGTACATTTATCACATCGTAATACAAAATTGGCTAAAATTTTATCATATCGGGTCAATGACCATTAAAGAGATTGCTTATTTATTAAAATTACTAATAGAAGAATGATTAGTAGAATCAAAGTGTTTGTTACTCAATGGGCTATCGCGTTTAAAATTAAGCCGTATATTTTTATAAACAAAATATAGGTAACTATAGTACTTTACTCGTTTGTATGTTTGCATTGTTAGAATATACGTACAGAGACGTAATTCCCAAGGTAAATGATAAATATATTTTTCGAATAAAGTTGAAAATTTAGTTTGAAATTAAAATTATGTTAAACTAGGTCACATCCATTACCATAAACGTTATCGTCTCTTTTAATTCGATTTTTTTTTCATTCGTAATTTGTATAAAGGTGCGGGTTTTCTGTACAATGCATGTTTTATCAGCCAGAATTGGTAACAATGTATTTAAGATACATATTAAAGATTATGTTAATTCGTGAGAAAGAGCCAAGGACAAGCGCACAATTACGGTGCTTTTAAAAAAATAATTCGAGTCACTTACCAGAATGCCTTTTGGGCGTAAAAATAAGATAAGGATAAGTAAAATTTATTACAAGCCGTGTAAAATATTGCATGTTGTAGGTAAGATGCGCAATTCAGAAACGAAAGACGATGTTGCCCTTGAGCGGGTTTTTAATGCAAGTCTGTGCGGGATGAATACACGGCAATATTCGTCCAATGTCTATATTCACTCATTGAAGGTCGCTTTATCCATAATGGAGAAGAGAAATTGTATGTACATCAAAAGAGAGTGAAATAAAACGAGTTGTTTTGCGGCATCTATAATATTCATTAGAGATGATCTGAGTCTTTTTTTTTTAAGAAATACAAAACTTAAAAGCCCTCATAAATACGATATAATATATCTGTATATATTATAAGTCTTTGACTAACAAGCTTCCATAGCTATCTTTATAACAGTCTCAAAAAGGACCTGAAAAGACTTATTAAAAAGTTGAATTTAGATAGACAGTAATAATCTATTTATTTATTCTTCAATGAATAAAAACCATTGTATTGTGTCATTCACTATCGGCCAGTTGCAGGTTTAAATTTTATGAAAAAGGTGAGGTAAAATATATTAAATATTATAATATAGTATACAATAGAAAGATAATAATGATAATAGTTAATTATTAAAGTTGTGACGAGTAAGAAATCAGGTATACTATCTACTATTACTTACTGAAAAGTTTAGCTTTAGTACAATCAAACATAATATAAAAAGTTAAATTTAAAAATTTAAAAACCCCGGAACATAAAAAAAAGTTATGATCTTCAAACCTCTGAACAGATTTTCTTGAATCATAGCTAAGAACACTCTCGATCAAGTCACGTATCATCAAAAAAAAAATCAAAATCGGTTCATCCGTTTAGGTGTTACAATGCCACAGACAGATTCACAAATGCACAGATACACATGTTAAACATATGTTTTCCGTCGGGGGTTGAAAACACAATTAAAAAGGCTATGTATGCAAAGGTAGGTTAGGGCGTTTGTCTGCCTAGAGTCCTTCTCTGTAGGTATTACCATTTTACCATTTTTACCGCCACGCAGAAGAGCAGATGTCGTGTTCAAGTTGTGAAGTATTTATAACATCTAAATCCTTAGGATTACTGGTTACTTATTTTGAAGTCTCCGTGATGTCAAAGCATGTTTATTTTGGTTTAAGGAGGGTTTGAAGAAGTACATTAAAATATGTAACACAGTTTCCTTCTTAGGAGGCAAACGACTACAAGAACATCTACTTACTATGGGGTAAAATGTGGGAATAACATTTTATAGATACCTAAATGAGCACATTTAGGTATCTATGAAATATTATTACCCTTATTTTATAAAAAAAAAGATCCGAACGCAAAGAGCTTAAAGTTATTCTAAGCAATGTGCTTGTTCTTTTTTCCCAAGATCTGTTAATCGAGACGTTTGCACATAACCAGGCGGAGCAGTGGGAACTTTGATACAGGATAACTCTGCGATTTCTGTAGCTGATAGCAGCTAGGATCGATCATAATTTGAAGTTGGTAGCATGTCTCCATGGGATGCAATAGTCAGTTAGCATCAGGTAGATGTAAGCTCCTTTCGCTCTTAACAAAGACAACAACATAAACGTAACATTTTTGGTTCCCGAGCTAAGTCGGTACTTGTACTCGTACATATCGCGGGATCTCGACATGTGTCATAATGACGACGAATATCGATACAGTAGATTAGAGTGTAACAGCATAAGAATATTATTAATGACCTACATGTGTTTCCTGGGTGGTGCTAAGCGAGCGAGAAAGCCGAAGAAACATATTTATTTAATTATAGCTGTGCCCGCGGCGTAGCTCGCGAATATAGGTTTTACTTAAAGAATTTGACGTTTAGGGTAAGAGAATATTAAACGATTTATATCATTACTGTATGAATAAGTGGTAACAAAATAAATCGATACGCTCAAAGTTCTAAGTCGTTTATGATAGAGCTTCCGTGTAAACGACGATAGAAGTAGACTTAGCCGGGGCGTACAGAAAAAGGTTGGCATAGAGTTGGCCATGTGCAAAACAATCAGTACTGGGGTCCACTCCACAAACGCGTAAAGTTTGACCTTGCGCTTTATTTACGATCGTCGCATAACACACGCTGAGTGGGAAACACACTTAAAATAGGGATGTTAGATGATCATCGATGTTAAAAATTAAAACTTCGATGTTTTAATATCGATGTTGACACATGTCAAACATCGAAACATCGACGTCAATGAACCCATAATCGATAATTGGGAACTTGCAAACAATGCGAACTCGCGAAATCAATATCAACTAAATCTTGCATCTGCTCTGAAGATTAAAAATTTTGAATAATTCAGAATTCCTGAACGCATTGTTAACCTAAAAAAATGTCAGTATGGTGAGTCAAACTTAATTGTCAAGTGTCACCTGTGATGTCACAATGGTCACTGCTTTCGCTTTATTTTGTAGTGTCGTTGTCGGTTGTCGCATAATAACTATTCTACGTAAATTGATATTCAAGTTAATAGTTACTTTTCCCTTGATGTGTATACCCACATAATTTTAAAACAATTTGTAAATATCTACACATATACAAAAACCATCGATAATGATCATCATCGATGTTTTGAGTAGCCTAAACATCGAACATCGATGTTGAGCTATCGATGCCAACATCGATGTCATCATCGATGTTATTATCCCTATCTTAAAACTGTAAGGAAAGTTATTTGGTATTAGAGGTTTAGAGGGATTCTGGGTATAAAACAATATCACGACATTTATTGCAAATTTACTACTTTTAGTCGAGTTTTCGAGTTTTGTTGAATAATTTCGACGTACGCGGTACGTCTCTTTTTTTTCTGTTTCTGTCGGTGTTTGTGCTTTGTGTTGTTAGCCTACACGGCTCTAACAGTCTTGCAGCTTCGTCGGACTCATGAACATAAATTTTTTCAGTGAGTGTCAATACGATTCACCTGCGAAAAATCTTAACACCGCAATTCAGAAAAGGTTGTAACTTGTACAACGCCATCTATTACGTTCTTTGTGAGAAAACATCCTTTTTTAATTTAAGGAAAACATATATTTTTTTACTGTGTTTTAAGTATAAATATATTGTAATAGAACGTTTTTTTTTTACACACGTATCTTTTTATTACTATTTCTGAGATTTTGTGGCGCCTTTAAACAAATTCGAACCTACATTTCAAAATAATAATCATAACTTTCGATAGAATTAACCAATTTTAATAAAACAAAGATTAAATGTAACTCGAAGATACGCTTTATGATTTTCTTAACGATTTCTTTGAAAAAAAAAAGATGTTTACTTTAGACGTGATGCTTTCATATAAAAACAGACAAACAGACAGAAAGACAATTCTAAAAATTATAAAAATGTACTTATTTAATTATTTTTAGTTCCCCATAATGATTTTAGTCACCATAATATATATATATATATACAATGTACAGAAAGAGATACATGTTATCATCATTTTTATTATATGTATATATTTAAAGAGAGATGGCGCTGCTAACATTAACTTGATGACTCAAACAAAGCCACCGTTGAGCAAATTCCCTACCCATACTTCAGAATATTTATCATAACTTTTGATGGAATGAACCGATTTTAATGAAATAAAGACTAAATGTAACCCGAAGGTTTACTTTATAATTTCCTTAACAATTCTTATGATATAAATTAGTACTTTAAACGTGATACGTTAACAAACAAACAGACAGACAGACAGACAGACAGAAAATTCTAAAAATGGTAGAAATGTATTTAATTACTTATTTTTAGTACCCCTCAATCACTTTTATTACAAAAATATAAAATGTACAGACATCTGCTATTTACAGTTTTATTATATGTATAGATTAAATATTAATAAGATTAGTAACAATGAAATAATACATAAAAATTTGGGCATTTCTGATAATTACGCCTGATTTATTATTCAATTAAAAACGAACGTATTAAATCACCTCGTAGCTCTAGAACAATAAAATACCTTATGTTAATCTTGTACAAATGATACATATTAAGCAAAATAATTTCAAGTGGCGTAAAACAAGGAAACCTAGCTTACATCAGCAGTGATGAGTGTTCCCATAAATAATTTATTTGTAAATTCGCCGAGCATAATATAACGTTCAGCGCCCGAGCCAATATGCCAAGGTCTAGATAATAAATAAATATGAGCGGCTTCAATGAAATGTCTTTTTATTATAAAATGTGTCGAGCCGGTATTAAAATCGATAAACCATAAATATAAATAAAATGCACATCGTATGTAAATATTTTACGAAAATAGATTCACAGTAAATTTGCAATACAATTATACCATTGTACCAATATGTTTGTAAAAATAATACATTATAACATAATATAACAGCTAATACAGTTTTTATAAACATTTAATAGCTTAACTTAGCTGTCAAATGTTTATAATCACTAGTATATTAAATTTAAGTTATCAGTAAATGCCTACCTCTTCATAATCGAGCCGAGCGGTCAAAGTAAACACGCCAGTTTGCGGATTCAATGAGAACACGTCGTTAGCCCAATCGGAGACCACAGTATAAGTTAATTGAGCATTTGACCCCGAATCCAAATCGGTTGCAGCGACTGTTCCGACCACAGAACCTCTTGCAGCGTTCTCGAGTATATCGAAAGAGTAAGCATTTTCTTTGAACACTGGAGGATTGTCGTTTGTGTCAGTTACCTGAAATTTTAATTCCAATTTTAAATTAAAGTTCGAAATTAACACTTCGGCACAATATTATATACACTTTCGATTTTATATTTACTGGATTAACACAATTTTAAGACGTTCACATTTGCTACTCGCTAAAATTATTTTACAATTATTGTTTATAAAATGTATATTAATTTGTTATGAGTATAATTTGTTATGAGTATATTTCCAGTAATTTTTACATTTTAAATTATCCTTTCTGCTAGAGACAACAACCAACTTATTTATTTATTTATTTTAATACACTAAACAGACAAAGACAAACCATGGTAAAAATAAAATGACTAGTGTTAAGTCAGTCATAATTCGAAATATGCGTACTTATATGAGTACAAACTAAATTGAATGTTTTCTCTTTGATATAATAATTAAAATATTGTATGGAATATTATTTATTTATTTAATATTTTACGTGATATTCATCATCATCATCATCATCATCATTACAGCCCTTCATAACTCCACTGCTGACAAAAGGCGTCCCCCAAGGAATGCCACAAAGTGCCTTACTAGTTCGTCACTCCATCTAGTGGAGGGGGGGGGGGGTTGTCCTACACTTCACCTACTTGTACGAGGTCGCCACTCGAGAGCCTTTCTTTCCCATCGGTTGTCGATTCTTTAGGCTGTTTGGCCGGCCCATTGCCACTTCAGCTTACTAATCCGTCGGGCTATGTGGGTTACTCTAGTTCTACTGCATATATCCTCATTTCTAAGTTTATCACGCAGAGAAATCCTGAGCATATCCGTTTCCATAGCTTGTTGAGCTACCTTGAGCTTTAGGAGTCGAACTATTTGTCCCTGGTAAACATATTCGTCAACAACTTCGAGTTTAGAATCCCCAACAACTACCGCCATAGATGTGACATGGACGTTACACATGATCTTTGTTTTGTCCATGTTATCTTAAGACCTATCCGTTGGGAGACACTATTTAAGACATTGAGCATAGTGCTTAGGTCTTCCAGCGATTTTGCTACCAGGACTATATCGTCGGCAAATCAAAGGTGAGTGATGTACTCGCCATTGATGTTAATATCGTATCCTTTCATGTCCACTAGCATCCCTTATCCTTTTTCATCCAGTAGTTTCGGAGATAAACCTAACGTGACCATTTATTATTTTTGTCAAAGCGGGACGCCTCTTGCGGAATTATGGTAAATAAAAGTTTTTGGTGGTGTACCGGTCTTTTTTATTATAGAAGGTAATAACAATAATAAAAAAAATAATCAAAGAACTTATTACAAAATAATTAGTAGGTTGCATGATTTACTAAGCCCTAGTAGTGGCGTGATTTCTACATAGTATTTTTGTATTTGTCAGCTGCACAAATTAGTTTTTAAATATTGGGTCTGGTTTTTAGGTACGTATGGAGCTCAGTACAGGATTTATTTATATTTATTTTTGTAATTAAAATGGCTTTCACTACTGCGACACTTAACTGAGTTTTATAAAAAAAAGAGCAGCAAAGAAATTTAACCATAACTCTGATCTGGCGATTTCGACAAACATTTTTAAAATATTTGGGAATATGTCCCTAATTATAAAATAGCTTTTTAAAGGCTGAAAAATTTTAGAATTCTTTCAAGCGCGGGCATTAACGCAAACCACCTTGTTTTACTGTAGCCCAGCAGTTTGTGATACCCTGTGTCAGTTGAATCACAAAACTCTTTCAAAGATTCGACTCGAACGCTGTAGATATAGAAGAATGAAGTTAGGTTAGTTTTTACGTGGTAGAGCCATGCTGCAGCCATATTAGTAGTATAGTTGTAGCACGAATGGGTCGGCTCGACCGGGGAAGGACTACACTCTCATAGAATACCAGCGTAAAATAGCAGCTTAACACTGCTGTGTTTCGTATGGTGAGTGTAGAGAACCGGAGACCCTTTTTACTTGAAAAGAAGCATTCCATCTTAGTCCTCACGGGTGACAACGCATCTACATTTTATCGCAAAAGAGGATAGATGTAGATGTATATGGGCCACAGCAACCACTTACCATCAGGTGGACTGTGCGCTCGTTTGTCACCCTATCCTATAAAAAGAAAAGGTCTGTTTGCGAAAGCGGGACCATTTTGCCCTCGCTGGGGACAGTAGGACAGACAGCCTGATAGCCGGACTGTCCCGCCCAAAGCGGGACGTATGGTCACGTTAGATATACCTCCACTCTGTCTTACACCTCTCTGCAGTTGGATGGGTTTCATATTCTGGTTCTGTACTCGGATAGCTAATATTGGTATTATCGAGATTCTTTTAATAACAAGAATTTGTTAATACCTTCCATATACCTTCCATATATATCAGTTTTGTACTTAAAAATGTTTCCATTTAATAAATTTTGTCAATTTCATGTGCATTATATTAAGGTTATTATATTTACTACCCATTTCAACTAGTCGATTATAATATGATGTATTTATTATTTCTTATTTATTATAATTAACATTATATAAACTCATTAAAATGCCAAACGGTTCAATTTATTTAGTTATTAGCATAAGGCTCTTCAATGGGTCCATTTACATTGTACAAAGGTTATTAGAAAGTAAATATCGCTGCATGTCTAATTAAAGATTATGCCTAGTTTTAATGATAAACATCGAAGCACTTGTTAGTAAAGCGGCGGCTGATTCTGCCAGCGGCACAGTATTAACGACCGACGACCAAGACTGCATATTGTAAAATATTTAAAATCCGCTCACGGACGGAGATAAAGCGAACGCATTCCGAATTAATCGTACTATTTGTTATCATTGGATGTTAAGCGAAATAAATACTTAAGAATGTAGATAAAGCCATAAAAATAATTTTATTCGTACCTCAACAACGACTATTACGTCCGTGAACTGCATTCCATCATCGGCTCTCACTACGACTTGATATTCTGACACTGTTTCTCGGTCCAGAGGCTCCTTCAGGGTTAGTACACCAGTGTTTGGGTCAAGTGCAAAAGGCGTCAGTTCATCTGACTGTATGCTATACGTAATACTGCCGATTGTGTCTGGGTCTTCGGTCACTATCGTCGCAATCTTTTGACCTGGTGCAAGGTCCTCTGATGCCAAATACGCCGGCGGTATGTTTTTAAATTCCGGTGGGCTATCGTTTTTATCAAGGATCGTCACCGCAACCTGTAAAAAAAAATTCTGAATTAGTTACTAAATTAATACAATGGGTGTTCATTTGCTTTAATAGAACTCAAACAGATGAGGGAAGAATAGAAATATGTACTTTATATAATGATAAAATTTGTTTAAGAGAGAATATGTGATGTTAATTCGACCATAGCGTCGACCATTCTTTACCCGGAGGCCCTTTTCATTTATAACGACAATCTGTTTAACCCTCAGAGGTGACAAGGCGTCCACATTTTGTTTATTAATCGAGAAAAGATGTATGTATCTATGAGGTATAGCATCCACTGCCCGCAGGCGGACTGTGCTCATTTGTCACCTTTACTTGAATTTAAAAAAAACACACTGAATCTAAAATTTAAAAAATATATATTTTCTATTTTTTTTACGCGCAAAGGCTAGCCCCGGCTGAGACTTTAACCCAGATTATTCGACGTGGTTCCCACCACTATCGCCTCTAAGAATGCGTTCGTCAGATGTTAAATAATATTAAATATATTATACTGAGTGGCAATCTATGGGCCTAGGTTCAACCATAGACTTTGATAGGCGGTAATAAGTTATTAAACGAATAAATTATATAGAGATTAGTGTAAATTTACGTAGTTCGTTTGGGAATTTTAGCCGGTGATGTAAATAACTAATTAATTCATAAATACATACAATTATACAAATCCATGTTGTTTTCTTGCAATTCATGTTGCTTTTTTAAGAAAGAAAAATAAAGAAAACTAAATTATATTAGTATTAATTAGATAAGGTACATTTTTAATAGGTGTTTAAACTTTCTATTGAATAATGAATTTATAACAAAAACAAATCTATACATTATTAAGTATACAAACAACGATTTCATAAAAATTAGGCTGCCACTGAAATGTAATTATATCTATTTCAATTAAAAAAACTGATTGGATTTTTAAATTTTAAAACCACAATAAATGGGCTTAAACGTTAAATGTTTAATTTATGGCGGGCCCAGAAAATCAGCCGCTTCACCGAAAGGCAAGAACCAAGAACACGACCGAAATTAATAATTCTAAAAATGCAGCCCAAGAGCGGGCCATTCAACAAATGTGTGACTCTATTGACCGACAGAATAACAAAATGCACCTTTTTGTACTTCTTATGAAATAATTTTACGTATTTAAAACGTACGTTTCGTAACATTTTTAAACTATTTCTATGTTCATTTGTTCATTTATTCGTGATTACAGCCTGTCAATGTCCACTCCTGACCATAGGCCTCCCCTAAGATTATACAGTTCCCACACTTGGCAGGCGGTATAGCAACCACACTTTTTATTTATAGAAAGATACTGCTGTCCATCACCAGGTTTGTATACCTCTGTCGTCTTTTACGACACACACGGGACGATATAAAGTAGTAAAAATTCTTACACCGCCAATTCACGGTCACGGTAGTTCTATTTTACATGTTTACAATCATATTTGAACAGTTAAATAATTTAAATAAAAATAGACCAAGTGGTTGGTGAGACACTCCAATCCCACTAAAATCACTATAATCCAAAATAACATTTAGATCATGTCCAATATTAACTTTGTAAATTTTTCTAAACTTTGAATTCTGCAGTTTAAATATAAGTTAAAAGTAACATTAAAATAAATACCTTTACTTTTAACTTGGTGAATACTTTTAACTTGGTAACAAAAGCTAAGTAGAACCTTAAAATTATTTCAAAAGACTTTGTTGTTTATATTGATACTCTACTTTATTTTCAAATCTAAAAACAACTATTTTTCCACCTACCTTGTAATATCTCTATTTTAACATTGAGAGTTATTTAATATATAAAAAATATTTTTTGTTTATTCGTCTTGTATGCGCTGTCATACTCTTCATCAGATTGTGCTTTGTCAACTTATTTGCTTGTACTTGTGCGAAGGTTATAAGCATAGTAGAATTAACTTTCAATAGGTGGCGCGCATATCGTATCAAAAAAATTATTTGGAACATATATACTCAACTTCAATGAATGTATTACATATCATTCCTAGTTAAAAATAAAACTCTTCCAAATTTAAAATGATATTTTGATAATTATTTTTTGTGTGGCAGCAACACGCCGGGTACCAGCTAGTGTTATATAAATATTATAAAATTTTTATCTTACTACATTAAAACTTTGGATATTCATTTGCTCCTGTGACTAAAAGCAGATCACCAACTACCGACCGACTTACCAAACTATAATAACTTTCCCTTGTATGACAGCGAAACCATATATAAAAAGGTGCTATTTGTACTAGATCATCAAAGTCAATATTAATGTCGTCTAGACCGAATTTCTGTCACGGCCATCTGCACAGAACAGGGTTATTGTGCACGAGTATGTGCGCAAGCGATATATAGGTGCACTCTCTATTACCTCAATCTCAAAGTCCGATGGGACGGCAAATTCGATATGAAAGGTATGATATGACAAGTTATGAATATATCTATATATAATGAATGAATATTGAAATAGAATAGTTATAAAGCGTACGTTTTAAATACGTAAAATTATTTCATAAGAAGTGCATAAGGGTGCATTTCGTTATTCTGTCGGTCAATAGAGCTACACATGTATATAAAGATATGACAAGGCGCAGAACCAACGACTTTACAAGCTTTCCGAGGCACGGAGTTGATACAGTACTCCAGACTGGGAATTTCTCGATAGGAAAAAACCAATTACTAATTTTGACCCGACCCAAAATTCTTTGCTACTAAAGTAGACCAACGAGGCAGTTAGAATCCATAGATATTATTAAGACCTTGAGTGTATCAACTTAAGAAAACTTTCCTACGTGGTAGAGCCATGCTGCAGCTATATCACTGGTATAGTTGTAGCACGAATGGGTCGGCTCGACCGGGGAAGGACCACGCTCTCACAGAATACCAGCGTAAAATAGCAGCTTAACACTGCTGTGTTTCGTATTATGAGTGTAGAGAACCGGTGACCCATTTTACTGGAAAAGAGGCATTCCATCTTAGTCCTCACGGGTGACAACGCATTTGCATTTTGATTCGCAAACGAGGATAGATGTAGATGTCTATGGGCCACAGCAACCACTTACCATCAGGTGGACTGTGTGCTCTTTTGTCACCCTATCCTATGAAAAAAACTCTATTACGACTATATTTTAATAATTCTAAAAATACGCCTATATAATATTTTTTTTTTATTATTGACCAACAGTCACTAGCTGACTATACACTAGCGAATACAGTTTAACCCTCTCTTGATGAGATATATTAGATAAGATTTATGAAGGTAGAGTTAAGCTTTACAAACGTGGTCGACGGACGTTTACAAAAAGCCGTTCGAACAGAACTCGACAAGTCAACAAAGGGACAGCGAAGTAAAAGACTAAAACCACTATCGTTTCGTCATCCGCACTCCGGAGCACGAAGAATTCGGGCCACATTGATCGCAGCCGTCACAGATAAGAAGAGGCCGATTGTAAAGAGTTCTCTGCCCTCGGCAAAGAGATGGTGCGCATTTGTTATGATGACTCAATCTTTTCTTTGTACAATGATGAGGGTGCCGTCTTAAAAAAAATACAGAATAACCACTCAAAACGCCCGTGATATTTACGTAAAAGTAGCGGCAATTAAAACTGATTGTGCCAGCGTATTGGTGAAGAGAATAAATTGGAATGTGTTAACGATATTTATTGCACGTATTCTTAACACCAAAATGCATGAGATTTTACCTTATTAGTAAAAGCAAAGCTAATACTTCGTAAATTTATTAATCAAGCTGTCGGGCTTGAATTTTAAAATTAAACTCGCTGGCTCGGCACACGTTGTTCTGCCCTTTCCGTTAGGTGGTGCGATGAGTTTCACTCGGGTATTCTTAGGTCTTAAGAAATCGGGTACAGATTTTGTTATTTTTATTTTGGCACTAAACCAATATTATACGTATTGTCAATATGAGTAATTATGATCATTAATCTAGATTTTTTAATAACATATGAATACAGCGCCACCTCTCGGATCCTAGCATAGCTATGAACCATCGTCTTGACAAAACGAGTATAAATATTATGTTGTGAATTTATACCGCTAGGAGTAAAAGTATTCTGTGGATTATAACTCTAATCGGTCAAGTCGTTCAGACGTTATACGATCACTAATCGTTCAAATTTTGTATAATGCATATGATTTATAGTACATATATGTTATATAAAATATAATATTTCACTGATTTTTTACTATTACCAAATCGTTCTCTTAACTTAAAAAAATACAAAGATTTATTGATAAATGTTTTCACATAGTACGCTTTGCTCCACTGGACCCCCTAGGGATCATAATTGAAGTAATCGATTAAGGGAAGAGAAATGACAGAATGTCGATTTAGTAGAAAAGACTATTAATCAAGTTTCGATAATTGATTATTGTCTGCTAGTAGATTAATACGGATTGTTCAAAGGTTGTTGTTGTTTTAGAGTATCGAGCAAATATCATTTATTTTCTTAATAACAATAATAATAGTTATATATTACGTAATATTATGTTACGTGTAGAATGCCGTGGGTGCTGTAAGAGGATATAGGATAATTGACCCAATAGCCGGGCACCAACGTTTTGGCTGCAACAAGTTTTGGTGGGCATGACCGAGGGCGAGTTACGCTCCGACAGAATACTAAAGTGAAATAACATAATAAAGCTGCTGTATATCATATTGCTGGCATCGAAAACCCATACACTTTTTACTGGAAACGAGGCTGAACATATCTGCAATTGGATTCTTTATCAGGGATGGATGTAGCGGTTTGTCACAATGTGTCACGGCACCTACCTACCATCAGGTGTTCTATGTGCTTGTTTTTCACCGTTACTTAAAAGAATTCGTGGTAAAAATGGTTTCGTATTTCGTAATTATTTTAATAACAGGCAATATTTAATATTCTTCGAGGGTTACAACGCACCTTAATGCTAATCTAGGATTGATGTAAACGTACATGAGCCACAGCATCCACTA